ACATCATCTCAGAAAATACATTCTTCGATAAAAAAAGAAAAGATTAACGATTATTAACAATCTTAATATTAAACGTATGTGGTTACTATACATATACTATACATACGTACTTGATTCTCTTATTTCGTGTAATACGAGAAATTAGTCGTAATAAATCTACAGTGTTTCTTCAAAACACTTCCAAATAAATAAATTAATATTTTGGTGTAATGTACTCTACCTTTCAAATGACAGCAATAATGCTGTTATGCTTCACACAAGTTGTTCCAGTAGTATTTAGTGTTATTTTTAATAGTTTTAAACGGTGAAGTCTCCTACGTTACAAAAAGTTTAAGAAGATTTAGAAACAACAGAAAGAAAGAAAAAGAAGAAATATAGCACCAAAGAAGTGGAAAAGGAAAAATAATAATGATAATGATAACGAATATAAATTAAATGGTAATAAAAGAGCAAAATAGAAAACAATAATTGATAATAATAATAAAAGTAAAAATAATAATAATAATAATAATAATAATGACTGGACTGCGGATTTTTATGCGAAATAAAAATTGTATTTGTGAATTGCAACAACCAGTGGTCAGATAGAAACTTCTTTCTTTCTTTAACAATTTTACTAACTTGAAAATAATATAATGACACTCTTAAATTCTTTTAATTTGTCTGTTTTAAATTCGATGTATGTACAGGTTGTAAAAAAAGGTCATGTCATGGTTATCATAGACGTGTTATACAACCTCAGATCGATGGAGGTCTGTTAAAAAAACTTTCCGCAAAAGTAACCTTCACCATATTTTTCAAGATCAATTTTTTTATGTTTGCATCCTATTCTGCTCATCGAATGGAGCAAACTTGCAAAAGAAACCATATATCCTGAAGCAAGCGTTTCGTTATAATTTAATGTTGAACATTTGCCAATTGAATTCCATCTATAGCAACTTATACAGGGTGTGGCACATAACTGTCGCCAGGATTTTTCAAGAACTTTTGATAGTCCAACAAAAACATGTTTCTAATGCAAGTTAATTAATATTTAGTCGACTACATACTGAAAAATAAAAATTTTCAAAAACTATTGTTTTTCTACTAAAAGTCAAGATCATCTTGACAGAGTCAAAAATACAGGGTGCTATTTAAACCAGTCAAGGTGACATTGACTTTTAGTAGAAAAACAATAGTTTTTGTAATTTGATATTTTTCTATATTTTGCCGACTAAATACTAACTAACTTTCATTCGAAACATGTTTTTGTTGGACTGTTGAAAGTGCTTGAAAAATTCTGACGACAGTTATGTGCCACACTCTATACAGGGTGATCCAGCTAAGGCCACCTAAATATCTCCTCTAATTGTGGGGGTATAAAAAATATTTTGTACGCTATTTGAACGATTTGAAAAAACTATTGTACTGCAACAAAGATTGTTTTCTAAAATAAATTTTTCGGAGTTTACAAGGTTATCGATATTTTTTTGCGTATAAACGTATAATTTTTTTTATTGAATTGTGTAGCTGATGTAATAATATATTTAGTTATATACATTACATGACCTTGAAATGACCTTCGAGATCAAAAATTAAATGGAAACAAAAATTTTTTCCAATGACCAATAATGCATGTTTTTCAAGTTTAGTTGACCATGATCGGTGAAAGATGCCCCGTCAGTAAACAACATAATCTCAAAAAACGATTCATCGCGTTCATACTGCTGTAAACCCCATCGACAAAAATTCAGGCGATTTTCAAAATCTTGCCCATGAAGAGCTTGATGGAGAGATACATGATACGGATGAAATTTTTGATTATGAAGTATTCATATTATGTCTGTTTTGGAAATAGTAGTTATCCGTTCCAATTGTCGTGTACTAATATGCAGATTTTCAGCAACTTTTTCCATAACAAATCTCGTATTTAATTCGTTTGTAACATTATTGGTTCCCATACGCTTCTTCGTATTGACACTGCCACTTAAAAAAGAAAGTTTGATTATCTTTCCATATGTACTACGCGATAGACAGTTCCGTTCACTAAATTTCTTTCGGTATAACCGAACAGCTTGCCTTAAACACGGATCACTTTTCCCATAAATCAGAATCATATCAATTTTCTCTTGCTTTGAGCAACTCATCGTGTATGATAATATCGGTAAACTGACGAATTAATTGAGAATGATCAGATTTCTGCGGTGTCAAAAGTCATTCGTGGTGTGACAGTAAACATGTTTATTTATGCTTACAGATTATTGAACGACGTGTTCGTCTCTAAAATCTCAATAGACAAAAATTTGTCGTTTCCATTTAATTTTTGATCTCGAAGGTCATTTCAAGATCATGCAATGTTCACAATTGAACATCAATTCTTACATCAGTTACATGATGCAATAAAAAAAATTATACAATTATACGCAAAAAAATATCGATAACCTTGAAAACTTCGAAAAAAATAATCTCAGAAAAAACATTTTTGTTGCAATACGGTGGTTTTCCCAAACCATTGAAATAGCATAAAAAAAATTTCTTGTACCCACGCAATTAGAGGAGATATTTAGGTGGACCACCCTGTATAAGTTACTATAAATGAAATTCAATCAAATCAAATCAAATCAAATCAAATGTTCAACATTAAATTCTAACGAAACGGTTGCTTTGAAATGTATAGTTCCTTTTACAAGTCTGCTCTCCTGTGACTAGAATAGGATACAATTATAAAAAAATTGACCTTCAAAAATGTGGTCAAGGTCATTTTTGCGGAAAGTTTTTTTAACAGATCTCCATTGACCTATGATAGCCATGACATAACCTTTTTCTACACCCTGTATTCATTTTTTTCATAAATGTATAAAATCCGCAGTCTAATAATAATTATAATGATATTCGAATAGCTGAAGAATTTAATATTTCGAAACACTGCGATCCTAATTGGTTGAGATAATTGCTGCTTTATCATAGTTTTTACTAAGTCTGCCATTACGAGTTTAAACGTGTTCTTCCCTGTAATTGCGTTAGCAAAAATTTTTCTTTATCTGCAACACGAATTAATTGGCGAACACTTGATTTACAGATATACGGTTGGGAACCAGAGTATTACAACGACACCGCAAAGTTGCCAGATGATATGCCGCAGGATCTTGTAGAGCACATCAAGTCCGTCAATAGTTCAACGGTTGGTTAATTGCTCCAATCCCTAGCATTGAATCATCACTGACACCAATTTTGATTTTACAATTACTCCTACAAAATTCTATTGCATATTATGAGTCATTGTCTCCGAGAGATGATTCTAGTATAATTCTTAGAAAGAACTCCTCCATAGAGAAACATATTTGTCACTGAAATGAAGTCACAAAGTACGAATTAATCTATATAGAGTAACTTTACTGATTATTATCAATTATCGTTTGAATCAACGTTTAAATTATTAACACATTCCCTTTGCGTTGTGTTCGCGAATCGGTATTATAATGGACACCCGCTATGCGTCCGCCCCACTCCGTTATACAGGAGTACCAGCGCATCGCATGACTATCCCTACTTCTTTGATTTGAAATCTGGCTTAATCTCCTGGCTGCCGTGCATGCGGGACACTAATTTTTAATTACGTTTTGAAATTCATTTTTATTATTAATTTATTTATTTAATATTTTAATTAATATTTATTTTAATTAATATTGAGCCGTTTATTTTGAAAGTTGCCTAAATGCATTTATTTTAAAATCCAGACATTTAAAGACTTTACGATTTAATAAATTTAAAAATATTGGTAACTGATAACATGGTAGTATAATATTTTTGTGCTTCTAAAGGTTATTTTGCGTACTAGAGGCTTTGCTCAAGTGAAATTATACAGGGTATCCCAAAATTATGTTACTGAGGTTATTTGAAGTAATCTTTTCCTTAGCAAAAATACAATTTCGTTTACGAGTTATCAACGATGTCTTAGAAAAAATTTTTGTAAAGGAAAAAATTACTTGGAAGGAACCCCTCATTTCTCGGAAGTAACATCATTTTGGGACACCCTGTATCTAACGTAGAAATATAGATTATTAAAATAACTAATTTGATGTTTTTGGAAAGTGGACCTAGGTCGCTTCTAAAATAAACGGTTCATGTATCGAATAAACTGAGTATTTCTAGAATTTTTAGAATACACACGAAAGTGTTAAACTAATATTTTCTACATGATCAATTTTAACTTTCTATTTTTCGATTTCAGCAGTTAAATGAATTTCATATTTCATATTTTGGTATCGATATCAGTGCACAACGTGTTAACAAATATTTCGTTCGTTTACATTTATTTCGTCTTCTCAACTCGACGAGTATAGGAATCTTTCTGTGTTGCAGCTGAATACCGTGTGGCTATCATGCAAGGGAGAAAATCCTCACGACGAAGAAACTATAGGTGAACTGAACTATTATCCGAGAAGTCAGGGATTTCCGGGATATTATTACCCATATACAAACATTCCTGGTTATTTGAGCCCCGTTATTGCTGTACATTTTCTGCGACCAGCTAGTAAGTCGATTATAATGTTATGAAACGAGATTACTATTTCTAAAATAATGTTCCTTTCAATAACAGTGTTCATCGTATATTTGAATTTGTCATTCGGAACAAACATTTAAGGTAAAAATGTTCAACTTTCCAAGATGTTTGAATTAATTCATTCATTCATAAGTTTATTTAATTTAACGCGCTATATATAATAACCGCAAATAGTAATATTTCTATAGATTTAATTTGAATAGTAGTCTTTTACATAGCTTTCTGTATAATAATTTAATATTACGTTATGAGTAGACCGCGGATCTTTATGCAAAATTCCTATTTGTGCAGATTATGTTATTAATCTTGTATTTTGGAAATTTAGAGATTCCGTAAGTGTATAAGAATCTGCAGCTTAGCATCTGGATCTTTCCATTTTTGCAGACATATTTTTTACAACGTAAATATGTACAAAAGTATTAGGACCCTTACAGAAAATTAAATGTTGAGAAATCGATAGGAAATTCCTATAGTTTCTTCAATTTATTTCGAACTTAATTTTATGAAACCGTAACAAATATATATATATTTAGCAATATAATAAAAATAACGTCAATAAAAGAGAATTATAGTTTCTTTTCGGTAATATATCCACCGCGTTTTTAATTACTTCTTGGACTAATTTCAGTATCCGTTTTATTAGTTCGTCTATTATTTCTGTTCCCATTTGGCTCCATGTATTTTGTAGTATGTTCCACATATTTAGAAAACGCATCGGGATGTTTTCAGTGAATAGAATGCAATAAATTGGAAATCGTATAAGTGAAAACGTATTTCAACAATATGACGCTATAAAACTCGCAGACATTACCTAAACTGAATGAAAAATTAAAATTTATATTAAATAAGGAGGTGTCCTAATACTTTCGGAGGGGAGTGTATGTAGGAAATCTAATTACTCCATGCGGCCATATAAATTGTAAATCACTTTTGGTCGTGACAATAGAACCGAAACAGTTTCGCAGAAACACGAATTTCAACTATTGTAATATAATATAGTTTAGTTGTCTGTTGTACAACTATTTAAAATATTGAACTTACAAGCCAAAATTATAACAGCTTTCAAATATTCCTGCTACTTATAAATGGACACAGATCTTTACGCAACTTCTGGTCATCAAAAACTAATTAACGAAGACGAAAAGTAACTGCTTTTACGAAGATGACTAGGTGTTACTTATCATTTTCGTTAATTAGTTTTTGAAAATCAGAAGTTGCATAATGATCTTTGCCTTATAATATTTGAGGACCGTTATAGTTGTGGCTTGTAAGGTCTATATTTTAAATACAGTAGAGACTTCCTTATCCGAACATTTATTTCTACAATAGTCTGATATCCAAATGTTCTATTATCTAATCGTTGTATCATTTACATACATTATCACCTCGCAGAAAACTTGAATGAAATTTTTAGATAATTGAATGTTTTTGTATCAGGATATTACAAAAATATACCTTCGGATAAAAAAATTTGTACTGTAATTGTACAACAAGCAACTAAAATGTATTACGTTTTAGTACACTGTACACTGTATAAATGAGAAAAACGTAACATTTAATTTATTACAAATGATTTTCTGTTATGACTACAAACTTTAACATAGAATTAGATGGAAAGATATGCATGTAAACTGTGAGAGTTTAAAAGTAACGAAGACTAGAACAGCGTAATGAATAAGATGTTAAGAAGATTGTTCAATAGTTTAAGGGCTGATAGTACTCGGCAAAGGGAGCAAAAAATAGCTTTACCGATATAGATCCTGCAATCAATCCTTTCGGCATAAAATCGATTTCTATCGTTCACGAACGTTCAATTTCGCTAGCGAGTATCCTCGTTGTCACGTTGCAAAATCAACAATGAGATTGTTGATTATGAAGCACGATGGCTCAAGGCTGTCAACACAAAATTATTGCTAATATCAACAGAGATTGCTTCATAGATGCAAACGAAGTAACGGATACGAAGTAACAGATACGAAGTGACGTTCAACGGTGAGATTCGCGGCTTCGGGTAATAAACTAAATCACGATAGTCGACTTCGAGACGATTAATTGCAAAACCTATGTCGATAGAACAGTTTTTCCTTGTCTCGGAGTACCACAAGCCTTTAATACTTTGGATACACATTTTTAATATTCTGTATGAACGTACTGAAATTAGATTCTTTTTTTAAGAACATAAAAGGTTTATATTGTACAAAATAAATAATTTCTCCATCATGCGATGCAGCTTAGAAATCGTGTTAACACTTTACAGTATAACAACGAGTCGGAGTCATGTTGAAGATTTCGTACATAATTTACCAAATATCAATGTTACTCATTACTTCTAAATCCAAAGCAAATTTGATTCTTCCGCTATCAAAATCCAAGAATAAAAGTACAGTAAATTCTTCGCAATTGTCTTTCAGCTTGTAAACAAAAATGAACAATTTGGGAAGAGGAGATGCGATTATTCGAGCCTTGCACCTCGTTCTTATAGTTGCTGATTGCCAACAACTATAATCCTCGTGTTGCGTACTGGTTAATTGCGAGTCTTGAGTATAATCAATGGAAAAAATGTTGTACTTTGTCCGTTTTCTATGAAAATATTGCATATCATGACAGTGATCCATTCAAACTACTGCGTATTTATCAAACGATAATAAATATTAATAATATTAATAACAACGACGACGATAATAATTGTTAATGTTAATACAACATTAACATTTTCGGTCAAGGGGAATTCTAACAAGGAAAATTATTTCCAGGAAATATAATAATCAATGTGTTATGTCGAGCATGGGCCAAGAACATCAAATATCGACATAATACCAAGGAGCTAACTGGAGGGATACGTTTCGAGCTAATGATTGACGAATGACGAACAACGATGTTTATCTTTTAAGAAAACCTTCTGAACGCAATACTACTGTCTGTCAAGCGGTGAAAAACACGCCTACGATGGAAAACGTTCGAATACTTCGATAGTTGCGTAAAACGTTTCAGTTCGAAGACGATGGTAAGGCTCGTAAGTAAGGGGATTAGACAAGTTCGAATCCCCAACTTCTGTCGACACTCTGAGAGAAGTCGGAACGATCAGGAAAGTTAGAATAGGAGCGTGAGTAACTGCAATTATAAGATAATTAATTCTTCGTCGCTGGGCGCCTTCAGATTCGCACGACCGCGTGACTGAGGTGAATATTGCTGTAAGAAAAAGTACATTGAATAATTCATACAATCAGCACTTGCAAAAATTATGAACACGAAATAGACGAAAGCAGCGTATACAGGACGTATCGAAATTCAATGATCAATCTTTCACGTAAATTCGTAAATTCTACGAATTGTTTGAAAGCACAGTTTTCAATGTTAAAAAAGATATTGGATATCGAAGGCGATAGACAATTGCGCTACAATTAATAATATTAATTGTCCGTAAAATAATGCAAAATTTTACCGAGTTCATTCGTTATTGTTTTTACGTGTAACGTTCTTCAAGCTTTTCTCGACTTGCATTTATAGAATTTGCTGTCAAATTCGATTTGGTCAATTTTATAAGATTCTTGCACGATTGCATCGATGCAGAGAGGATGATGCGTTTGCTTCCGGTAAAGAGAAAACATACCGACCTGTACTTATTATATATATCACGAATACAGCTGAATAATCTCATAAATGTGTTATCTCCAATTCAAAAATGTACAAACTGTGGATAATTTATAGACATTGATATTTTTAATGCCCGAATCTATTGTATTCAAAACATTGATTTTATTATTCTTACACTCGTCGTGATCCGTCACGATAAAAACCGAGAAACTCGCAGAAACATATTACCTCGTTATTGTTCTAATATTGTTTACTTATGCCGCGCTATGTTTATGCACTTAGTATTTTATATGTGTATGTATGTATGCATATTGCAGCTTAGTAAGTTGCATTTTACTCGAGACGAGAATGGAACTATCTTTAGCATATACATTTGGTATCTTCATTAATTATAATTTCGAAATATATTCTTCTGTTGGTAGATAGCAGACTATTCAACATTATGAGGAAATATCATGTCTCATATTTAAGAAAGGGTATATTACTTCCATAGTCAGATAGTAATTACAATGAATTCAATTATTGTAAGTCATTTTTGACAACGTCTTATAACGATATTGTATCCTTGAAAACATTGCAATATTTTTTATAAAGCTGATTAAAATCACGTTTCACCATATATAATTTAATCAGTTGCGATTTCAATATCCATATCGTTGCTTCAAAAATTTGTTAAATTATAGCGAAAAGAACAAGAATATAAGTAATAATTCTTGAAGAAATTGTATATTAAAGAATAGTTACATTTATCGTTATACTTATGAATGTGAATATTTTATTTGTTAGTTTTAATAAGTCCATTACAATTCTGTCGTTGTAAAAATTTCAAGTGGAAAATGAAAATTTTCGAACCAAATTTTGATAAAATATACACATATCTGATGTAAAAACGATACTTTCGAATTGTGCAAAATTGAAATCCGATGTGACTGCCCAACAGTGTGCAATCATGATGAAAAAATAGGGTACTAAGGATCTCAGAATGACAGCATTAACGTAGTTGTCAGTAACTTTAAGAAATATGCTTCGGTGTAGTTACTTATTAAATGTATGTACTTATATTGTTATAGTGTTTCCCGTAAGAGAGTGTTGTACTTTATGTCGATAATTCTGTTGAATAAACCGAACCATTTTTCAAAGCGTACAAGCTCTAAATAATAATTCTATATTTCATCATATGTCTCGTGTGTCAAACAGTATAGTTTGTAGAATTGTCAAAAGCATGTCTTTTAAGATAGTTATTTTATAGTTATTATAAATTTTATTTAACCAACTATACATACAAGGTGAATCTAACAACTGGTTTATGAGTCTGTTTCTATCGTGTATAGAGACAAAATTACAGAAGAGTAATGGATAAAATTTAATGTTTCATTCAAAATAGTACCTTTTTGATGAAAATGACATTAAGCTTGAAATAATACAAAAAAAAGTTATAATGTAGTGTAAAAATAGTACTTGTGTAAAAAATCGAACTGTACAAGTATAGCACTGGATAAACAGAGTTATGCCTGATCAAGTTACTATTAAATTCCCTCTGTGTTGACGTCGAAATTTTCGATCAATTTGATCTTTGGTTTCCATACTGGTAATGATAGCAGATTATAGTTCATTGCATCATTTGAATTTTTTACTTGATATAACTCCCAAATAGATGTTTAAACTGACCATATCAATTTTCTGCTCATTTTAATTCTTATATAATTATCTTTTGACACAAAGACTTTTCATCCAATTTTCATGTGCTTTGTAAGATCTCTTTCAGTCATTTGTATTTAACACACATCATTCAAAATTTAAGACAGCATAGAGAGATAATAGGAAATTGTAAAGTATTGCATATAAATCTTGCATCATAATTATATACCAATTGCAGATAGAGTTATATTGTAAATGCAATATATTCATTTTTATCTACATCGAACGTTAATGTT